GTGGTGATGCTGATGCTGATGATGATGAGGATGCTGCTGATGATGATGATGGCGACGATGACGATGACGATGATGATGATGCTGATGGTGGTGATGATGATGATGCTAATGTTAATGATGATGCTGATGCGGATGATGATCATGATGATGATGATGCTGTTGATGAGGCTGCTGCTGATGATGATGATAATGCTGATGCTGACCCTGATGCTGATGATGATGCTGGTGCTAATGATGCTGATGATGCTGATGATGATGCTGTTGATGATGGTGATGATGGTGCTGATGCTGATGCGGATGCTGATGATGATGATGCTGATGTTGATGATGATGCGGATGATGATGGTGATGATGAGGATGCTGATGTGGAGGAGGAGGAGGAGGAATCTGAGGAGGATGAAGAGGAGGAGGAGGAGGAGGAGGAGGAGGAGGAGGAGGAGGAGGAGGAGGAGGAGGAGGAGGAGAAGAGAGAGGCGGAGGAGGATCTTGAGGAGGAGGAGGAGGAGGAGGAGCAGGAGGAGGAAGAGGAGGAGGAGGAGGAGGAGGAGAGGAGGAGAGGAGGATGAGGAGGAGGAGGAGCAGGAGGAGGAGGAAGAGGAGGAGGAGGAGGAGTTTTTGTCTATCGCATTTCGATCCACACAAATGCCATGGCATGCACCTTCCCAGTGGCTGGATCGCCTACCCCCACTTTGCCGATTCGACAGATATGCCTAAAGAGAAGACGTTGGCACCGTGCAGTCTACTACCGAGGGGCAACCAATCCAATGCATTCAAGTATCCCAACGACCACCTACAGTTGCCTGGATGGCACATATACTTCAGCAGATACAACAACGAAATCTTTGGACACAGCGGCGGCCAGCTGTGCCTACCGCGTCCGCCTCCACGGCCCGACCCCCGATCTACGCCACTGACAATTTATACGTTCCTTGCTGCGACTAGCACGAAGCTGATCAAGCCCAAGGACGCCGTCAAAGCGGATTCACACCGACCACTGCACATGCCGCCCAAGCAGCCGAACTTTCTCGCGATATGGCAACGACTTACAAGCATGTGAATGTGGCGCAATGCAGAGTACAAGTAACCCGGACACACGCCCACATCACCGCGAGGACAAGCGCCACTCAACAATGCCAGTATCAAAGTCGCACAAGAAGTATCACCCTGGTTCAACATTTGCCACGACGACCACGACATGAAGTACAACTGGTCAGTGCGACTACGCGACACAGCACTCTTACTACAACGCGTATGCAACCCACAAGACCCAAGACCACTTTTCCCAGCAAACGCGACGACAGCGACAGCTCCAACGACAGGGGCGGCATTACTAGCACAGCACAAGGGATTCAGCAAATACCGACCAAACCACCGCCACCACCAGCTCGGCCCTTTCTCAAACCACTTGCACCAATACCCACAACCCAACAATCGAACATCAGACGACACAGTTTCCACTGCAACCTAAAATGTCCACGCCACCAACAAACGCACAGCAGGACAGCGCTCCGCACTCGCAACAAAAACAGAGCACAATGCCAAGCGCGCCCATGCCAAATATTCGCAGTAGCATAACGGCCACTCTGATTTCGACCGCACCACATCAGCGACCGTGCAAACCACCACCTGCGCACCTAACCCAACAACCGCCGAAGACGCCTAATATGAGCAACACAACAGCAGCGGCAACTACACCTGCACCACCATTCACTGCAATGATCAAATTCCCACCGTAGTACATATACATACAGCCACGCACTCCACCGCCGGCACTCATGATGCGGATCATAGACCCGCCTGAGGCACTAACACGCAGCAGTGGATGCAAGCCATCCCACGGCAGCTAGCCCCGCATGCGCTAGCGACGCGGCGCACATACCTTCCGACAAAAACCTCGCAAGCAATTGCAGCACATCAAGAAGCGGCTCGACGCGGGGAACAACATATACACATGTTCGATCCACGTGTCACCTTCATCAACAAGACTGGTGACCCAACTTTCCATAACTACATCGACAGACTACGCGGACACCAAGCTCGCTACGAGACGTACCTCAACAGTCTCAACGAACACACAATGGGAGCACCATTGACGGATCCACCGCCCAAACACATGGTAGCGATACACAGGGCTGCTCCCAAGTCCGGGCCGACAAACGCTACCACGAGCCAACCGAACCAGACATGACAACCGACCCACAACGCATGGCGCACGGCAGACTACCGCAACTTCCACATCAAGTGCTCCTAGTGGGTCAATTTTCGCAGGAGGACCCATGCTGAAAGGCAGCGCAGCCATTCAGCAGGCAGTTCGTGTACCATTACCACTGACCTACAATGCACCGTTCCTTTTTCTCCTCGCGGCTCCTCTCACACGTCAGTAGTACTTGCCAGCAAAAGGTTGGGGGTTCGCCTGCGCAACCTGTGGCAGTCCTAGGATTGCTGGTTTTTCTTCTAGTGCACCTCCCCTGTCCTCCATCCTCCTTGTCCGCGTCCTCGT